ACTCCAGATAGTAGGTAGCAGGTTTAATAAACAAGGGAACATATATGAGAGGCTTGTTTTAGGTGGCCACAAAACAAGTAGATCTCTGCACCCACCTGACAAATGTTTAAAGTTTATAGAGAGGTTTTAACTTTGTTCAGGTATGTATGCCATTTAATTGTTCTCAACACCTTATACTCTCAAAAGTTATGTCCTTGGAACAGCCCCCACAGTGGAGACACTAAGCAGGGTGTACATTCCAAGGACAAGGGAGGTGGTGAGAAGGCTTTGACTGCCTAGGTACTGGTGGAGGGTCAACCAGGGGCCACTCCTCTTGATCCTCTCCCCCAACATCTTCCCAGCCAGAAGACCCAGCAAACTTTTTTTGGATGGAATTGTTCAACTCCCTGGCAGACCATGGACCCTTTTCCATGGGTTTCTTGTCCACGTTGTGCTTCTCAAAGGAGCTAGACCACCAATTTCCTCTTTTCTCTCTTGGTTCAGCTCTGGGTCTAGTCTAGCTCCTGTTCCTGACATCTGTCCCATGCCAGTCCCAAGGCATGTTGGTCACAGAGGGCACATTATCTTCAATGAGTTTGAAAATCTGTCAACCTCTGGAAGTTTCTTTTCCAGCTCCTCTTTATCCTTCATCTTGACTTTTTTTTTTTCTCTTGGGGCTAGGATCCTGCCTTAGGTAGTAAAGGGTCTCTGAGCTTGCTGAGTGTCACCTGTGTTCATTGTGGATTGGGTCTCTGTGGTGGGCCAGTCTGCCTTGCTGTGGAGGAGGCAGGGGATGTCTGTATGAGCACTCTCCTCTGGGTCCATCATGTGGCCCAGTGGGACCAGCTCATTCCTGTTTTAAGTGTGGCCCCTAAAGAGCATGTGGTAAACACTGGATCCCGGAGGTGTTTTAAATCTTCTGTTCAGGATCCTCACCTTTGTGCATTTCCCCATGTGGATTTTCCATCAGTTCTTCCTGCTCTTTCACTTTCCTGGAAGTCCTAGCTCAGACCATCGGAAGCAAGGCAAAATACAATGTTTTCACAAAATTGTGAAATCAGCCTCCTTCACAGTACTTCACTTCACCACAGAACAAAGCCAATATTATTGAAAGGCACCAAATTATCCAAGTCCCAACACGAAAAATCTCCTATGCTGATGTGTGTTTAAGATCAACAGGCACACAACTCACTACAAACAGAATCGGTGGGAAATGACAGAGGGTGGAATCAGTAGGGGACTTGAAAGCATCTCTGATAAATAGACTGCTGTGGTCAAGCATGTAGGGAAAGCATGAGCACAGGAGGTAGGACAAGAACCTCATCAGGACCTAAGGGGAATGTTAGAGATGCAGAATAGAGTGAGGGAGCCCACAGATCAGAGCAGACCCACAGTCCCCTTAACATCAGGAATGTTGCAGGACCAGCCCAGGAAGGTGTCAGGAGCAGCATGTAGCAGCTTAGTGTGCTGGGGCCTCGCTGCTGAGAGTCTGTCTCCAGCTTTGAGAAGTGCAGCTGTGTCAAGGTGGCTAACACCTGCTCTGCCAATGAGGGTAGTAATAGCATCGTCCACCAGGCATGTCTCAAGGATCAAAAACACCCATATTTGTAAAATACAGAACTGTGCACAGCACATATTTCTTAGATGTAAAAATGTGTAATAAGATAATCCAGCTGTCTTTCCATAAAGCCACAGGAAGCTGTCTCCCTGGACTTCCTTCCATTTTTTAGTTTTCCCTGTGATGCAGCCCTGCTGCTGCCTGGAGATGCATTTAGGGCCCTTCGAGCCCACACTCTGATTTTCTGGAATTTAGGGAGTCAGGAGTTCCCTAGTGTAGGAATGTGTTTGTCCTCTGTCCTTTTGTGTTGGCTGTCTCTGTTGCAGGTGGAGACCCAGCTGCTAGTAAAGGGCTTGGATGTGATTGAGTTCGACCCATCTCACATGCAGGCAGAATGGTCAGCCCACAGTAGGATGACTCCCTTCAGAACCTGTGTCTGCCCCAGGGGTGAGTCCTGGGCATCAAGACCTCAGTTCCAGGAAGAAGGTTTGTGGGTGGTGGGGGGGTGTCTCAGCACTCCCACGTGCCCTGATCTGGACCCATCCCTGAGTCTTGGTATCTTGTACTGCAAAGGAGGATTTTTATCTCACCCACCTGAGTCAGGCCAATTCAGGAGTCCAATGTGGTTAATTTAAGGACTCAGGACTTGAGTGACATCTCCTAAATCACTTACCCAATCCAATACTAGTTTATGAGGTCCTATAACAGAGAGGGTGTGTCTGACCACAATGAAGGCAGTGATCGCAGAGCAATATTGAGCGTTATGTGTTAACTGCAAAAGTTCTTGAGGCAAAAGCGTGCTCGATGTATTCAGGAAGACGTTGCCTTGGAAACTTTGCTCCTTCTGTGTTAGCTGTTCATCACCAACAAATGCCAGTCATTGAGCTGGCTCCTCTGACTCAGGTGTCAGACACCTGTGCATAGAGGCTTTCTCAGAGGACACCCTCCTAGGCACTGCCCCCTCGTTCTGTCCTGGGCCACAGCCAACTCTTAGTAAATCCCAGTGCAGCCACTTGGCCAAGTACACCTCTCCCACTGGTCTCCAAGCTCAGTCAGATCATGGATCATGTCTGTAAGTGAAATCAGATGTAGAATGGTTTCTCAGCCCTGATGCTACAGTGGACTTCTTTCTTAAAAGTCAATCCCAGTGTTTCAGACTTAATTATTTTGGGCCTGAGGCCCAGGGATATGTGTTTGTAAAAAGTGTCTGAGTGATCCAACACAGTCTGGGTAGAGATCTCCTTTAGAGGAACATACCTTCTCATGAGCTACACCTGATGCAGGGGCCTCCTTGGTCTTTCCCACCCCACTGTGCTGCAGGAAGGATCAGGGAATTTAGTAACTGAGTCCCACCCAGGCAGTAGACTAGAACTGCCTGGAGGGGCTTTCACAGTGGTGATGGGGTCCCTTTGCAAGTGATTCTGATGTGATGATCCAGGAAGGATCCATAGTGTCAGTGCTAAAGGTCTCAGGCGTTTTTTTTTTTTTTTTTAATTTTAACGTTTATTTTTGAGACAGAGACAGAGCATGAACAGGGGAGGGGCAGAAAGAGAGGGAGACACAGAATCGGAAGCAGGCTCCAGGCTCTGAGCCATCAGCCCAGAGCCCGACAAGGGGCTCAAACTCATGGACCGCAAGATCGTGACCTGAGCTGAAGTCGGACGCTTAACCTACTGAGCCACCCAGGCACCCCAAGTCTCAGGTGGTTTTAATCCACAATCGGGATGGAAAAGCTCAGCTTTAAAAGGGTTCAAATGGTCAGGTTTTTCTGTTTTTGTTTTTCTTGAGAAGTTGAAGAGTTTTATGAGAATCCCTGTGACTTGGGGCAGAGGACTAGGGCCTGACCTAGGAACTCTTGAGACTGAGACTGAGATGCCCCACTGGGGGTGGGGGGAGGGGCTCAGACAGGTGGCTGCTCTCAAGTCCCAGCAGATCTTCCTGCACCCATTCCAGTCACTTATCTGTGAATAAACTGCCTACCTCATCAGTTCCTAACAGAATCCCTCTGTCTGGCCTTAGACATACTAGACAGAGGCTCCTGTCCCCAAGAATGTTCATTTTTTTTAAATGTTGCCATTCATAGGCACCCTCTAGCAACTCTGTTCTCTCAAAGCTTATAATCCTCATGGAGCATTTGTCAAAGGACTACAAATCTTTTCTTTTCCCAAAGGATTGCAATTCTAATTATTTTCTATTTTTTTTTTTTTTTTGGTAATAGAAATGTGATTGTGTATAATAAAGTTTTTCAAAAGAAAGACTAGCTAAGTCAAGATTTTCTACAAAAACACTCATTTTGATAGGTTTCTCCCATAAAATGTACATAAATAGGTGTAAGAGACAGTGAATTTGCAATATAAGAGATACAAATACTTATAAAGATAATATTATCCCAAAGCTTCTGCTGCTTCTAGAAATTTCAGTTCCAATTTGAAATGGTTTTGAGGATCAATAATGTTAAAGGAAGATGCTGCTTCTGCTAGAAAATGCTGAAGGCAGGATTGAAGCCTCTCCTCTCTGAATGTACAAGTTCTCACATGTTGGTCACTGGGCCTCTGAGCACTAATAATGAATAAGAGAGTGGGGAGGGAGGGATGGCATATCTCCAGGCACCTGGAATCTGAGCTCCCTCTCTGTCCCTTGGCCTCTATATTTTTTTCTCAGTATAATTCTGGGTCCCACCCAAGCCATTGGCACCAGGATGAAGTGATGAGGGCCACTTCTTACAATTTCACATGATATTTTCATGACCTCGGGTTGTGGAAGGGAAGGAATCATGTGCATAGGAACTGTGATTTTTCAACTGTCTCAAGTGCAGACAGCATCACATTTAAATGGTCTTTAAGTTCAAGACCTGATTCAGAGTCAGGAGAGGTCCATATCTTCTGCTGGGGCATGAGGTCTGCCAGCACAAGTATGGGAAATGAATGCAGAGATGACCAGGCAGGACCCAAAGTTCATGAAACCCATCTTAGTACTTGGATGTCTTCAATATATTTCACTTGTCAGGGGACTCAGAGCTTGACATTGGAATGTGGATGGGCTTGGAGCTGGTCCTGGGAAGGAGAAGGTAATGTGCACAGGAAATTGCTGAGTGGAACAGACCCCTTCAGGGCTGGCTTAAATGGCCCAAACCCTCTTCCTGGATCACTGCTTCTGAACTTGCCTTCCACAGGGGCCATGAGGTCCTCAGCACCTTTGCTTTGGGCCCCAGTTATAAAGGACAAACTCTGTGATAAGTCCTTTCCAGTCTCATGAAGATGGGACCACGGGCAGAAGCTGGTCTTTTAATTCTGCACTCTGCTCAGGGCACAGTGTGATGGCTGGCCCAGCCCATGTTGGTCACTTAAGAGCCATAAAGTTCAATACAGAAGAAACCTACCTGAGACCTAGGGTCTACTGCAGGGCTTCTCCATAACTATGGGCCAGGGTTCATTTGTTGGCCTTCTGTATAGTCCCATGTAAGTCCTACAAAACCATCAGCATCTGGGGACACCGTCGCCAGCTCTTCTCTATGGCCCTGGGCTTGGGCACAAAGGAATCATCTTTGTCAGGACAGGATTCTTCTCCTTTGTCTCAAGATGAAACTCATTTCCAAAGATTCCCTATTCTTGTAAGAAACTCTAGGTTTCCTGGTCTCTCCAAGGACTGGTCTAGAAGGGACAGAGAAATGTGGATGCACCTTGGCATGGCTCTGTATCTGAGTGGTTTTCAGAGATTCCCCTTCTACACTGACAAGGCCCACACATGCCTTTATGTCTGCTGGTGGGAGATGATAAATCTTTAAATAGCAATGTCAGGAACTGGCATCACTAGGAGAAGCAATGTCCAATACCTCTACTCAAGGGTATGTCAGGAAGCATCTCTGTGCCTGGATATTGCTTAATAATGAATAGAAGTCTGAAAGCCTTCAGTTAATTGTAATTACTGATCTAGAAGGGATCTTCCTTTGTTTCAGGGAGTGTCAACTGTCCTCATGAAAGTCCTTGTTCTTCTTTAGGTCGCCAGGATTTTGTGGACGAAGTCAGAACTCCAGGTATGTGGAGTCACAGCTGTCATCCTCGCAGCTGCCCTGTGGGCTGGGAGAGGAACTTAGGGCTGATGAAGGTGTTGAGGCTAGGACTGGAAATACAGAGAGAAAAAAAAAGTGTTCAATTGTTGTGACCACAAAGAAAACCTTGTTTCTTCTTCTTCCATTCTGTTAGAATTTTTTTAAGCTTATTTGAGAGAGAAAGGGGGGAGTGAGGGGGGAAAGAGGAGAATCCCAAGCAGGCTCTGTGCTGCCAGCATGGAGCCCAAAATGGGGCTTGATCTCCTAACTCTGGGATCATGAGCCAAAATCCAGAGTTGGATGCTTAACTGACTGAGCCACCCAGGGGCCCCTATGTTAGAATTTTAGATTTCTGTGAAGAGTCACCTAATGTAAAAAATAGATTGTTTAACATGAAATAGCAGATTCACAGGCAAGCCATTATAAATTAAAATATAATATTGAAAATAATGACTTTATTAACACTAAGAACTGAGAAATGTGTCATTTTAAAGTAATGAAGAACCTCAGTCCCAAGTTAGGAATCAATAATTTACCTCAAAATTCTCACAGAGCTTCCCCTTCTGCCTATGATGCAATAACAAGATCCAGATTCCCTCCAGCATCAAACACATAAAAAGCCAGATGAATGACATTATCTGCATGTCTCAGACACTGGGCAAAAAGATGAAGGACAGTATCCGGAGGCAGGAAGCAGGTTGGGGTGCCCAGCTCAGAGCCCGCTAAGCTTCCAGGATGCAGTGAGGAGGGGATCCAGGCAAAGAGTGGGGGGAGGTCTCCCTAAAGTAAGGAAATAGGGATGAGAATATGAGGAGGGGAAGGCAGCCGGGAATCCAAGAACAGACTTACAGAGGGGAGGAAGGAGTGGCTGAATTGGGGGGTGGGGGTGAGGTTGAAGAGCAGCCAGGAAGAGGGGTCATTGAATTATCTTCAGGTATAATGGTTAGTGCAAATTGAAAGATAAATTCATTTTCTGGTGCCAAACAGGAAAGATACTACCCCTCCTTTTTCTTTCAGAGCATTTTTTAAAGAACACCTGTATCTGCAAATTCTTTCTCTGTCCTTTGGTATATAATATTTTTAAAAGCAAAATAACCTTCTTGCCAGCTTTTCATAGAGTACCTGGGAGCCATCTCTATGAAACTGCATTTCACACAGAGTGTCCTTCTAACTTCAAATATGCCATTGAGAAACTTCAGAAATTATTCACACAGAAAGTCTTCTTAATTGTAATCAAGGAAGGTGGAACCCCCTATGCCACCATCATCCTGGGAGGGTAGAGCCTTAACTCCAGCAGGTGCCTGGCTCTAACACAAACATACCTCTTAAAATATTAAAAATTATTTTTCCAGGAGAAGAAGATGGCAGCAGAGTAGGAGGACCCTAGGCTTGTCTCATTCCACAAACACAACTAGATCAAATCATCCTAAATACCCAAGAAATTGACCTGAAGACTGACAGAACAAATTCTACAATTAAAGGGGGGAGAGGAGACCATATAGAAGAAGACAAAGACTTAGACAAAGTGCCAAGATGGAGGAATCCATCCCAAATGAAAGAACAAGATAAGGACATGGCCAGAGATCTATGTGAAACAGATATAAGTAACGTGGTTCATGGATAATTTAAAGCAACAATCATAAAGATACTCATTGGGCTTGAGAAAAGAATGGAAGGCATCCGTGAGACCCTTACCACAGAGATAAGAGTTAAAAAAAAAATCAGAAATGAAGAATGCAGTGAATCAGACTGGAGATGCAATGAACAGCAGTCTGGAAGAAGAATGAATAGGTGATATAGAAGAAAAAATAATGAAAAATGATGAAGCTGAACAAGAGAGAATTATGCAACATGAGAATAGACTTGGGAAATTCAGTGACTCCATCAAACAAACATAATAACATTCATATTCTAGGAGTCCCAGAAGAAGAGTGAGAAAAGGGGCCAGAAAATGTACTTGAAGAAATAATAGCTAAAAACTTTTCTAATTTGGGGAAGGAAACAGATATCCAGATCCAGAAGGCACAGAGAACTTCCATCAAAATCAACAAAAGCAACCCACATTAAGGCATACATGTAAAACAAAGTGATTAAAAAATCTTAAAAGCAGCAAGACAAAAGAAGTTCTTAACAAGAGAAAACCCCATAAGGCTAACTGCAGATTTCTCAACAGAAACTTGGCAGGGAATGGCATGATATATTCAAAGTGCTGAATAGGAAAATACAGTAGCCAAGAATACTCTACCTAGAAAGGCCTACTCATTCAGAATACAGAGATAGGGTGTCCCAAATAAAAACTAAAGGAGTTTGTGACCACTAAACTAGCCCTACAAGAAATATTAAAGATGACTACATGAGTGGGGGGGGGGAAAAGAGACCAAAAGTGACCAAGACAAAGAATCAGAGAAAATCTGTAGAGACCAAAACAAGTAATAAAATGGCAATAAATAAATATCAATTATTTTGCATGTAAATGGACTAAGGGCTCCAATAAAAAAAAGGGTGTCAATGGGTAAGAAAAAAAGACCCATCTATATATTGCCTACAAGAGACTCATGTTAGACATAAAGACACCTGCAGATTGAGGAAGTTGAGAAACAATTATCATGCAAATGAATGTCAAAAGTAATACTTAACATCAGACAAACTAGACTTCTTTGTTATTGTTTTTATTCTGCTTTGGTATCAGCGTTAATACTGGCCTCATAGAATGATTATGAATGTTTCCTCTATTCCAAATTTGTAAGATTTTGATAAATATTGTCATTAATTTTTTTTGTTTTTTGATGTTTGGTGGAATTCAATGAAACTATGTAGTTTTAGATTTTTTTGTCCTGGGAGATGTTTGATTCCTAATTCAACTTTCATTCTTGCTACTGATGTAAGATGATTTCCTATTTTTTGGATTCAAGATTCATGATTCAGCCTTGGTAACTTGTGCATTTTTAAGGAATTATCTGCTTTTTTCTGAAGTTATCTTGGTGTGATAACAGATTACTATAAACAGTATTATATTATGTATTTCTGTGGTATCTGTTGTATTGTTTTCCATTTCTCATTGTTTTTTGCAATATAAAGAATTGCCAATTTAAAAAAAACTGGCCATTACTTTCAATATTTTATTTATAAAAAAAATTATTTCCCCTTCAGTAAAGGTAATTAAACATAAGTGGTAACGCAAGTCACCAGGTGAATTTAAGGTGAACTATGTATAGGGCACCTGGGTGGCCCAATTGGTTGAGATTCTCTTTCTCTGTCTCTCTCTCTTGCCCTCCCTAACCCTCCCCAACACTCCCCTGCTTGCACTGTCTCAAAATAATAACCATTAAGAAATTAAAACAACCTGTGACAAATGGTGCTGTCAAGTCTTCTTGCTTGAGAACCAGCTGTGCTTTATCTTGAGAAAATGTGATGCACTGGGTTGTCATTCCCTGGCTGAATAAAAGGGTGGGATTCCTTCTGTCTTTGCCATCTTATTAGTGGATTGTCTGTGATGATTGTCTGGTTTAAATGTATTTAATAATTTCAGGTTTTCTCCCACCTTTGGTGGATAGATTGGTGTGGCAAGAGATCTTGTTCTTAACTATTTCTTCCCATAGGAAGTGGATATCCTTGTGCTAGAGGGAACCCAATACCTCAGCGGCAGAAACTTTCCCTTCCTTATGCAGCAGCCAAGGCCCAGCACCCAGGAAAGGAGGCCACCACCTGCAGTGGAGTCCACCTGCTGGAGCAGATCCCCTGAAATGCAGCCTGGAGGGGCCCTGTCTCCTCCTCTTCCTGGCTGTTCGCCTCTTGTTGCTTCACAGCAGACCTCTGGGGCCATTGGTGTGGTCCCCTTGATTCCTGTGATAACAAGATGCTGCTGCTCCTGTTGCTTATAACAACACCATGAACATTCATGGGTATGATTGGAGGGGTATGGAGAAACAGAAAATGAAGGAAGATGTGAAGGGTGTGTGTGTGTGTGTGTATGAAAAGTCGCATGCATATTTTATAATGTATACCAAACATGAAGTTCATTTTGACAGAACTTAAAGACTCTTAAGATTCTTTATGGAACTGAACTATTGACAGAATGTCCTGATGTTAGTAGCATTTGCTAAGTCTTGTGAAAATAGGCCAGGTTGGCATAGTGTATGTTGGTTTCTTCCTTGTACTTTTACTTGTACCTTTAACCTTCTCCAAACTCCTCACCAAAGACAGAGACCTGTAATTATGGCCATGTCTTAACTGTGCCATTGAATGGAGAATGTATCAACTCAACTTATTTCTTACCGGTGCTGGAGGCTCTGAACAGCTGTCACTTGTCGGAAGTTGTAGAGCTTAAGTAGTGCCCTCATCTGGCCAGATAAGGGCAATGGGTTCCCTCCCATGACAGCTGCTGACTTGGCCTGCCTTGGGCAGCTGTAACTGGGGACAGTTGGATCTCCTCCAGGAAGCCACCTTAGGGAGTTCTCCAAGGTCCCACTATCCCTGTGGTAGGCATGGTAGACAAGGAATCTCAAATTTGGGCAAAATATGGCCTCTAATGATGTCTTCGACAGCAAATTCTAGAATCAGAGCCCTGTGGGGACTGTTTGTAAAGCCACCTGCCGGGAAAGGAGGGAGTCATCCATCAATCCACTCTGGGATTTCATGGTACTGTTGCCTTGGTTTGTTTTAGGATTTTTTTTTTTTGAGAAATTTTAGGTTTACAGCAGAATTGAGTGGAAGGTATAGAGTTCTCATATGCCCTCATGCATGCATAGCCTTCCCTACTACCAACATATTGTACTGAATCTGTAGATCAAGTTGGGAAGAATTCTTGACACTATGGAGTCTTCCTATCCATGAATAAAGATTGTCTAGTTCATGGATTTCTTTCAATTTTCTTTAGTTCATGGGTTGTACCCCTATCTGGCCAGACAAGAGCAATGGGTTCCCTCCCATGACAGCTGATTTGGCTTGCCTTTGGCAGCTGTAACTGGGGCAGCTGGATGCCCTCCAGGAAGCCACCTTAGGGAGCTATCCAAGGTCCCACTATCACTTTATTCTGTGGTAGGCATTGTAACCTTTATTCTGTGATATACTATCATCTTCTATAACCTCTAGATAATTTTTTTTAAAAATGGCCCTACTATGCAATCCTTCAATCTGGGTTTTATTAATAAGTTACATCCACACATATACTCTTCCCATTACCTGTACCTCTGCTCCCACCCTCACTCCCTGTAAAAGTAACCATTATCAGTTTTGCATTGATTTTTTTCCTGCCATTTGTGGTTTTAAAGTATATGAATGTATTCTTAAACAATAAAATATTCTTTCACCTGTATTAAAAGGATATACTTATCATGTTGTATGAATAAGGATTTATTCATTTAAAAAGTTTTTGATATATTGCCATATATTTCAGGTGTGAAACATGATATTTGTGTATCTCATGAAATCACAATTCTGGTTAATATTCATCACCATACATAGTTACAAATATATTTTCCTTGTGATGATAACTTTAAAGTGTACCTTCTTAGCAGTATAATACAATGCAGTAATACAATGGAGTAACATGAGGCAATATGTATAGTCACTATACTGAATATTACGTCCCTCAGGACTTATTTTATAACTAGAAGCTTGTATGTTTTAACCCCCTTCATTTCACCCACCCCAAAATCCTTGCCTTTGAACAGATTGGCAATCACTATCTATCAGAATTGGTTTTTTCTTTTAAGATTCCATATATAAGTGAGATCATACAGTATTTATAATTTTGGACATCCACATACAAAAGAATAAAACTGGACCACCCTCTTACACCATACACAAAAGTTAATGTATTAAAGACTTGGAGGGGGGCCTAGGTGGCTCAATTGGTTGAGCATCCAACTCTTAATTTCAGGTCAGGTCATGATCTCAGAGTTTATCAGATTGAGCCCCACATCGGACTCTGCGCTCACAGCGTAGAGCCTGCTTGAGATTCTCTTCCCCCACCCCCTCTCTCTCCAAATGAGGAAATGAAAAAAAAATGTGGAATGTAATACCTGAAACCATAAAACTAGAAGAAAACAGGCAGTAAATTCCTTAACATTGGTCTTAGTGGTGACTTTTTTCCCCCTTTGGATCTGACACCAAAAGCAAAGGCAATAAAAGCAAACACAAACAAGTGGAGCTACATAAAACTAAAAAGCTTCTGCATAGCAAAGGAAACCATCAGCAAAATGAAAACACAACTTATGGAATAGAAGAAAATGTTTGCAAATCATTGTTCATACTCTCCATGGGAGCTTCCTGGGTGAAATCTGAAATGGGGCCCTATGTGCAGAGGGTAGGGAGAGACTGAAGAAAGGCAGGAAACTCCAGCTTGACAGGTGGCAGGTTTCATAAGCAAGGGGACTTGCATATGAAGCTTGTCTTGGGTGACCAGAAGATGAGTAGATTTCCACATCTGCCCATTAAATCTTAATAGTTTATATATAAGTCTTCACTGAGTTCAGTCACTGAGACCATCTCAAGGCTATGTCCTTGGGGTGGATTCTGGGAGCAGGGAAGGTAAGCGGGCTGCACATTCCAAGGACACGAGGTGCTGTGAGGAGCCTCCAATTTCCAGGTCTAGCTCATGGGTGTAATCATTTCAATGACATCCTCTAACAATCCAACACTTGTGACCAACTCTTATAATCTCACACTTCTCTTGTGCAGTGTGTCGAGTGATCAGCAATGTGTCCTGTTCCCAATATAAGGATGCCTGGGTGTTTGAATGTCTGTAATCTGACATTTGTAATCTGAGGTAACCTATGAAACCCATTCCAAATCTGGCATCGCCACCATGGCTCTGATGGTAATATTTATAGGGCCATTATGGTCAGCACTATAATGGGCTGCCTGTGTAGTTTGAGAGAAAGGATACCAATGCCCAGTCTTATTGATGGTGTGTACCACAGACCAAGTTTCTGGATCAGTATAGGTAATATTGGATGAACTAAGAGTACTAGTCCCAGCTCATTTGTTCTCAATGTACTGTTTTTGACCCTTCCAATTCCCTACCTAGAGTGGTGATACCCATCTTGGTGAGCTACCCACATAATCAACATCCGGGCTGATTTCTTTGTCAGGAATATGATTGAGCCCACTGTAGAAAGGAATTGTCAGGTGCCTATCCTGTAACTGGATGCCATAGCAGCAACAGAAGTATAAGGCTGAAGACTGGTACCATTGACTCTTGAACAACACAGGTTTGAACTGCAAGGTCCGTTGATACACAGCCTTGTTTCAACTGGAAAACTTTTGGAGTTTAAAAAAAAATTTTTTTAAATTAAAAAAAAAAACTTGCGGATGAACCATGTAGCCAAGAAGCATTGAAAAAATTAAGTTAGGTATATCGCAAATGAGTAAGATATTTGTGGACAGCACCTCATTTTATCACTACTGTAAAATATATAAAATCTAAGAAGTTAAAAATTCATCAAAACTTATGTACACAAACACTACCAGACAGCATATGGTGCCATTTGCAATTGAGAGAAATATAAAGATGCGGTATTAAGTTGTAACTGCATAAACTTAACTTTAGTATACTGTACTGCTGTAATAATTTTATAGCCACTTCCTGTTGCTATCGCAGTGAGCTCAAGTGTGGTGAATATCTGCTTAAAATGCCATGTGACACTAATCCACGTCGGCAATTTAACTCTGCAATAAATTGTGTATTGCACTTAAAAGTGATCTCTTGTGTTTCTTGCATATTTTTCATTGGGTTTAGTGCACTACCATAAACCTCAAATAACACCATGGGACCCATATCAAGTGCTACTAGTGATGCTGGAAGAAGCAGAGAAAAGTCACGACATTATAAGATTACACCAGATTGAAGTTTATATGCACCAGATTGAAGTTTACACCTGCAGTTGCCCACTATTTTAAGGTAAATTAATCCAGTGTGAGGACTTCTGTAATAAAAGGAAGTTCGTGAAGCCACCACTGCAGCTGCACCAGCAAACACAAAATCCTTGAACTTTTTGGTAAAATATCTCTTGTCTCATACTGAGGGTGCAGTATTTATGTTGGTGCAGAATTGCTACAAGAAAGGCATACCTATAGATTCTAATATTATCCCAGAAAAAGCAAAGTTATTGTATGACAACTTAAAGCAAAAAGCAGGTAAAAAGATATAAAGGTAAAAAGATAGGATATAAAGCTGTAGAATTTAATGCCAACAAAGGATGGTTTGACAATTTTAGAAGTTTGGCTTTAAAATGTCAAGAAAATAGAAGAAGCCACTTCTGCCAACCAAGGGGCAGCAGACAAGTTTCCAGATGCCATTAAGAAAACCATTGAGTAGGGGCATCTGGCTGGCTCAGTTGGTGTAGCCTAAGATTCTTGATCTCAGGGTTGTAAGTTCGAGCCCCAAGTTGGGTGTAGAGATTACTTAATAAAATCTTTTGAAAAGTCATTGAGTAGAAAGGATATATTTCCTGGACAGGTTTTTTTTTTTTTTTTATAGTATGAAATTTATTGTCAAATTGGTTTCCATACAACACCCAGTGCTCATCCCAACAGGTGCCCTCCTCAATGCCCATCACCCACCCTCCCCTCCCTCCCACCCCGTCAACCCTCAGTTTATTGTCAGTTTTTAAGAGTCTCTTATGGTTTGGCTCTCTTCCTCTTTTTTTTTTTCTTCCCCTCCCCCATGGTCTTCTGTTAAGTTTCTCAGGATCCACATAAGAGTGAAAACATATGGTATCTTTCTCTGTATGACTTATTTCACTTAGCATAACAATCTCCAGTTCCATCCATGTTGCTACAAAAGGCCAAATATCATTCTTTCTCATTGCCTACCCCAATGTTTATAGCAGCACTTTCAACAATAGCCAAATTATGGAAAGAGTCCATCAACTGAAGAATGGATAAAGACATTGTGGTTTAGGGACCCAGAGGAAGATGGCGGCATAGGAGGACGCTGGGCTCACCGCGCGTCCTGCTGATCACTTAGATTCCACCTACACCTGCCTAAATAACCCAGAAAACCACCAGAGGATTAGCAGAACGGAGTCGCCGGAGCCAAGCGCAGACGAGAGGCCCACGGAAGAGGGTAGGAAGGGCGGCGAGGCGGTGCGCGCTCCACGGACTGGCGGGAGGGAGCCGGGGCGGAGGGGCGGCTCGCCAGCCAAGCAGAGCCCCCAAGTCTGGCTTGCAAAAAGCAGAGGGGCCTGACGGACTGTGTTCAGACAGCAAGCGCGACTTAGCGGCTGGGAGGTCATAAGTTAACAGCTCTGCTCAGAAAGCGGGAAGGCTGGAGGACAAAGGGAAGGAAAGCTGCTGAGCCCCCGGACGACAGAGCTCAGTTTGGTGGGGAACAAAGGCGCTCGCCAGCGCCATCTTCCCCGCCCATCCCCCAGCCAAAATCCCAAAGAGAACCAGTTCCTGCCAGGGAACTTGCTCGCTCCGCGCAAACACCCAACTCTGCGCTTCTGGGGAGCCAAACCTCCGGCAGCGGATCTGACTCCCTGCTGCTGCCACAGGGCCCCTCCTGAAGTGGATCACCTAAGGAGAAGCAAGCTAAGCCTGCCCCTCCTGCCCCTGTGCACCTTGCCTACCCACCCCAGCTAAGACGCCAGATCCCCAGCATCACAAGCCTGGCAGTGTGCAAGTAGCCCAGACAGGCCACCCCACCCCACAGTGAATCCCGCCCCTAGGAGAGGGGAAGAGAAGGCACACACCAGTCTGACTGTGGCCCCAGCGGTGGGCTGGGGGCAGACATCAGGTCTGACTGCGGCTCCGCCCACCAACTCCAGTTATACACCACAGCACAGGGGAAGTGCCCTGCAGGTCCTCACCACGCCAGGGACTATCCAAAATGACCAAGCGGAAGAATTCCCCTCAGAAGAATCTCCAGGAAATAACAACAGCTAATGAGCTGATCAAAAAGGATTTAAATAATATAACAGAAAGTGAATTTAGAATAATAGTCATAAAATTAATCGCTGGGCTTGAAAACAGTATAGCTGACAGCAGAGAATCTCTTGCTACAGAGATCAAGGGACTAAGGAACAGTCACGAGGAGCTGAAAAACGCTTTAAACGAGATGCAAAATAAAATGGAAACGACCACGGCTCGGATTGAAGAGGCAGAGGAGAGAATAGGTGAACTAGAAGATAAAGTTATGGAAAAAGAGGAAGCTGAGAAAAAGAGAGATAAAAAAATCCAGGAGTATGAGGGGAAAATTAGAGAACTAAGTGATACACTAAAAAGAAATAATATACGCATAATTGGTATCCCAGAGGAGGAAGAGAGAGGGAAAGGTGCTGAAGGGGTACTTGAAGAAATAATAGCTGAGAACTTCCCTGAAGTGGGGAAGG